CGTAACGTAGAAGGAACATAACTTAATATTAGTGTCTTCAACTTAAGTGACACGTGGACTAAACGGCCATATAAGGCAGACTTAAGTTTGAGACAAAGTGATCCCTATTTTAGAAATGCTGACCAGATATAGAGAAGGCATCCAAGTAGCAACACATGCGCCCGTGCGATTGACTGTCACAGTTATAACTTTCCAACAACTAAAGGTGCGCAGCGTATAAAGCATCATATTGAGGCTTGGACCTACGAACCCGCAGCCATATTATTTGACACACACGCTGATAAACCCCATCATAAGTACATTTGTTTATATCTCACGACAGCACTATACCATGTTATATCATGTTCTAGAGTGCCCAGGTACACATTTTACAAAATTAACAGTGATTTCTGTTCGTATGTATTATGACGTATAGTTCAGAATAATCGGTTTAACCTGAAATCTGTAAACCGATGTTTTTATTTAGGTGCGTACCTTTTTTTGTGAATATGTCTGCCTTTTAATCTAACGCCGTCTAAACTAATCCAAAATGGGTCGAGAGAGACGTAAGTGAATGTTAGCCATACATACAAGTTCACAGACGGTGAAGCCTGAAGGAGTGTGATGTGTGTATGTACTTGTGGTAGTGGTGGGGTAACCCCCAGATTTACGTCTGTTGGGGGTAATACCTGTTAATAATTTTAAGACTGTCATTCACTCCATGTCCTAGTTCTACTGTATAGATCGTAGGCATTGCTCCATTTAATGTCTATAAATGGTACATTTTCTGGGGGATATACTCCTACATTTCCATAGAATTATCATGTTCAGGGTTCGCATACCTTTCCCCCAGGTAAATTTTTTCATGACTTCATAATAAAAAGAGTAGTTATATCATAATGTTTAATTATATTAGGTTAAACTGTATTACTTCTACACTAATTTATACATTATGTCTAACAACCTTGAAAGTATGTCATTCTTTTCTCGTGGCAGCTCTTAAAACTCCTGCACACTAGGAAGTTTTACCCTCTTTAACCAAATCATCATCACACGCAACACAAACACGAAAAACAGCGAATAAGGAGACTACATCATGAAGTAAAAACCGTTTGTTGCACTTAACAACTTGGGTTAAGAGATTACATAATAGGACCAAAGATTCTATCGTGAAGTTGGTAACTGTTGGTTATTTTGGACGTTCTCGCAAAGCTATACAAGATCTGTCTGCGCTAGTCGTCTCTAATTCTGATCTAACACTAACACTCAGTATTAACTTTTTGGATACGCTAATCTCATAGTAGAATTTGGCCGTCATTTTTATAATGGTCCAACACTAGCACCCACCACTAACTCTTTGGATACGCTAATCTCATAGTTGAATTTAGCCGTCATTTTTATAATGGTCCAACACTAGCACCCACCACTAACTCTTTGGATACGCTAATCTCATAGTAGAATTTAGCCATCATTTGTATAATGGTCCAACACTAGCACCCACCACTAACTCTTTGGATACGCTAATCTCATAGTTGAATTTAGCCGTCATTTTTATAACCCATATAAATGTGGAGCGTAATTTTGCGGCAACGGAATGTGAATTTTAAACTTTCGGTTGTAAAGTCCAGCACGTTAGCCACTAGGCTACGCCTAACCCCATGTGGTTAGTAAATGTATCATGAGCTCATTGATACTTTACAATGTTAAGCATTATATTAAGTAATGTAATAAGAAGGGCACAGACTGTATTCAAAGATTAATCACTGGTGCTATGAAGTGAAGAAATCTGTTTCTATTGGATATTCGTGCAAAGCTACACAAAAGAATATCTAAGTTAGCTGTTCATAATTTTGAACTGATAGATTGGGGAGTACCCACCGCCAACTCTGGGACTACTCTAACCGAATAGCAGGATTTGACCGTCACTCTTACTACGCACTTTTCACGAACGAGGCGAGATTTTACGGCAACAAAACTACGTTATCGACTCTCGGATTAAGAGTGCGGCACTCTTGCCTCTAGGAAACCCCCGGCCCCGGGTTAAGAAGTAACACGAGGTTAATCGTTGTATTTCAACATTAAAATATATTAGAAGGTTTTATTTGTTTGTTTAAGCACAAAGCTACATAATGGGCTATCTGTGCTCTGCCCACCACGGGTATCGAAACCCGTATTCTAGCGTTGTAACTCCGCAGACATACCGCTGTGCCACTCCCCACAGTATTAGAAGGTACCCGTCCACGGTATTTTAAAGATATTCATAATATTCATGACTAATACCCGTCCATGGTATTTTAGAGATATTCATAATATTCATGACTACAGGTCTCATTTGAAGTGTCAATGAGAGAGCATGCTTCAACTGCAGCTTCGTTCTAGCATGTTCTTTATAACCAAGTGGCACACATAAAGGAAAATATTCTACACTCGATATATCCCAGAAAATTAGAAGGAGAGTTAGGCTTAACTACTTGCCGAAATTCACTAATACATATATTCAACCGCAAGGACCATGAAGAATCGAATAGTGAGTTCTACTAGTTGGCTGGTACTCGAATAGTGAGTTCTACTAGTTGACTGGTGCTCGAATAGTGAGTTCTACTAGTTGGCTGGTACGTCGAATAGTGAGTTCTACTAGTTGGCTGGTACTCGAATAGTGAGTTCTACTAGTTGGCTGGTGCTCGAATAGTGAGTTCTACTAGTTGGCTGGTACTCGAATAGTGAGTTCTA